TCGTGGACTAAGACAACGACTTCGAAAACGAATAGGGCCCCGTCTTAACAGCTTGTCATCCATGATATCTGATGATATTGCAGACGGGGAACTATGCGCGATCCTCGAATTTGCTGAGAAAACAGGCCGGTTTTCCAACAGAGATCTGGCACAAGGAAGATAAGTTATCCCAACACTTCAAATAAGCGAGAAGTGAGGACACTACAGCGACACAGCTCTAAGTAGGAACAAAAACTTCAAGAAATAGAACTATGAAAGGGAATGTAAATGGATCATGTGACTCGTATGTAGCCTGCATATCCGAATTCGGATGGGTCAGGGTAAATGAAGAATCAAATCAAATCAAATCAATCACCGTGTAGGATTAATCAATCAATCAATCATTGTATGCTGTCTTGACGGATTGATTGTCTGGTCGTTCTCCTGTCCCCTACCCCTGGCTCTCCTCTCTTATCTAAGTTAGCCAGCGTTTGCTTATGTCACGTGATAATTGGTATGTGCTTAGACTGACAAAAACCGAGTAAGTTAGGAAATCATGTTCAAGTTCTTCTGTGCGAGACCAGTCGTGCGCCAACACACGATAAAGCTCCCGCAATCCAAATGACAAACAACAGTGAAGTCGGTATGATTGTAGTAGTTTATGTTCAACAAATTACTGATAAATCCAGGAATCAAGAGAGAGCTCCAATACTTTATTGAAGTCCTTGAAGGAGGTATGTCAACTAAATTTTCTATAAGCTGAAGTCAGAGTATAGCAGTATCTTGACCACTAGTTAGCGGCAAAAATTCCAGCTAGAAAGCGCCAAATAAGAATAGCCCCGATATTCCAAGCGATTTCTGAGCATGCTTACCAATTCGGGCTGGCTGAGCATGAACTGTACCGACTGGTCCGGCTTATAACAGCCAAAACAGAGCTTGACCAGAGAAGCATTATAAACTTAATTAAGCACCTATATCCATCAAACCGCGTAGATAATGGTGTTATTATTTATATCATCAATACACTGGGTCAAGCGAAAGGGAGCCCTCCGCCTTCTGTGCAAGCTGCGCTAGTGCGTTGGGTCACAGCAATTTATTACATTCTTCAAGAACCTGCAATTCTGTCTCGTTTCTACGGTGTACTATTTAATCACCTAGATGTCATATCACTGCGGTACATGTCGCATGCTCTCTTAACTATTAGACAATTGTATTAACTATCATAGGCCAGTCTTATGCCAGCTACTTTCAGTTGTGACTAGGCGAAAGCATGTGCGACCATTCCGCATACAACGCCTGTATAATGACCTAACCCGCGTCTATCGCTAAAACTTTGTGACTAACTAAAAGCTAGGCTTAATCTTGTACATCAAACTACCAGTGAGCCGGCTTTAATAAGTCTACTAAGAGTATATAAAAAATTCTGTCCCGGAATCACCCTGAAGCCGAAATCGATAAGAATGCCTCTTTGGATAGTATGTTTTGAGGCGATGCCTTCGTTCTAGGTTGGACTAACCATATTCGCAGCGAACTGATATGGAATGGCAGCAAAGATTATGGGTCATCCAGCAAAAGAACCAGGCGATTCCGCGTCAGAGTTCACAAAATGATGGATTTCGAATATTGCGATACACGCTAAGTGGTGAGAGAAAAGCAGCTATACCTGAAGTCCATACCTTTCATGTAGTCGAGGTACGTTGAAAGCTCAAGAGAATGAATAAAGGTGCTTAATATGTAGAATAGGACAGTCGCACGCTTGAAGAAATACATAGCGCATCGGAGCTGGTACAGTGTCTTGAGGTCATCGAGTCACCATCGCAGATGGTAGCTGCTCTCCAAAATCCTGCGTTGCAAAGGTACCTACAGCTAGCGAGCCCCGCAGAATCTCAATTCCGATTTGAGTTTTGCTTGATGGGATACTTTGAAGAAGAAGTACAGAGGTTTCGAGAAGGTTTCGGTCCTTCGACAGCTTTTTCTGAACTGTTCGCTGGCCTTTCAGGTTACATGAGATCTTCAAAGGTTCGTATTAACGTCAACATGTGATGTATTATCTAAATTTACTCTAGGCCTCGCTCCTTGTGATGGAGCGGTTCTTTCAAGTATATTTGCCTCTATGGAATGGCCAACCCGACTTCCGCCATATCCTCAGTATGCTTTCATACCTTCCACTCCAGTCATTTCCAGAACCTTGCAAGAGCATTCTTTCCGTTTTACAGCAGGATGTCTTAACTAGCGCGGAAGTGCCGCTTGAAGCTCTACTTGGATTCTACACCAGCCTTGCGCAACATTGGATGAGCCCCAAGTTCTCTGCGCACGGTGGTAACACACCTCGAGGATTAATGAACTCGAGTGCAGTTTGCAATTTGATTGAACATGTTTCTGTCCTTGCCGAGTCTGCTCTTGCGGCTGCTCTGCCTGCGGAAGCAGCCATCGTCAGCTTCTATGAAAGCATAGCTGATTTAGTCACCATGCAGATTTCGGAGCAAAAGCAAATTCTTCCGCCAATTTTGCCTTCCAAGTCGCTCATCTACTTGCTTCTGTCGAGGTCTTCCTTGAGCCAATTTTCACGACTATGCGACCTGCTCGTTACCTACAAGCGCTGCTTCGAGAAACAAGAAGTTGAAGTGACCAGAACCTACCAACCGGATGCAACTGAACTACTCAACGGCTATTTTATGGATATATGCAATATGCTATGGCGTTCGCGAGCACTTAACACATCTGACGCAAACGCCAAAGGACTTTTGTGCCCAGATTCAGTCATTAGCAGCCTTCAGTATTACATCCCAAACGTGGAAAGGGACTACAGCCTTCACATAATTTTTGACCTTTCTCACAACGCATTGATTGCCTTGATGAGCCAGGCTGCATTTCTGTTATTAGAAAACGGTTCTCAAGCAGGGACTACGAAAGAACGACGGCTTCATGCTGGACCTGTAACGCAGAGGTCACTGGTTGTGCTTGAGAAGGAAGGCGGCCTAGCGTTATCGTGGAAGAAGTATCGGTTAGAGGTTTTAGAATGGCTGAAAAGGCATGGTATCAATGGTATGACGCAATTTTTGTTTGCTACAATGAAGGATCTTACAAAATAAAAGCTGTTCATTTTATGAAAGCAGGAAGATCTGTTCGATTCTGTCATGCAATCACCCTATGCGCTTTTGTATCGCTCTGACTGCTGTGATCGCCCCCCGGAAACATCTGGAGCATGCCGAATTTTAAGTTCTGTTCCAAATGGCTCTCAGGACTATCTGCGATTTCTTAATATTGTACGCTTACTTCAAGCTCAATTTAAGCGGTCATTGTTAGAGGGGCTTCTTTTACCCAGGACGTGAGGGATTGATTAATCAAATCCTGATCTGTGTAACGGGCTAGACCAGTATCCAAGGTCGTATCAGATTGATTTGATTGATTTTGATTTGATTTGATTTGATTCTTCATTTACCCTGACCCATCCGAATTCGGATATGCAGGCTACATACGAGTCACATGATCCATTTACATTCCCTTTCATAGTTCTATTTCTTGAAGTTTTTGTTCCTACTTAGAGCTGTGTCGCTGTAGTGTCCTCACTTCTCGCTTATTTGAAGTGTTGGGATAACTTATCTTCCTTGTGCCAGATCTCTGTTGGAAAACCGGCCTGTTTTCTCAGCAAATTCGAGGATCGCGCATAGTTCCCCGTCTGCAATATCATCAGATATCATGGATGACAAGCTGTTAAGACGGGGCCCTATTCGTTTTCGAAGTCGTTGTCTTAGTCCACGA